TGAAGTCGTAATATCACTAGAAAAACGTTTAAAGCACATAAAATCATATTAAAATATATACTAGTATGTTCTGTATTTACAGTACATGCATTCGTAAATTTAGAATACTTTTTTCTGTACTATATTAAAAACTAAAATTTATTTGTTTGTAAGCTTAAAATAGATTTTTATTAACCATATATTATTAAAAATGTATTAATAAATAAAATACAGAACCGGGAATGGTAATTTACTGTTTAGCCTAGTGACAAGTAGATTCGGAGACAAGTAAATTCGACTTACGTCGTTTTCCTGGAACCAATTACCGACGTAAGGCGAGGTATACCTGTATATATACATGAGTGTCTACAGAAAATTTTTAAGGAGGGGAAAAGCTTGCAGACAAATATTTACATTAATAAATTTTTATTTTTATTTAATTATTTAATGTTTTGGGGTTTCTTTCACAAGTAGATTATAGAATACAGTATTGCATCAAAGTATCTCATGATCAAGGACATAAGATTGTGGCTGTCTGCAAAGTTTGTTTTTGGATATAGTTGTATATAGAATAGGAACTCTGTTCTTCTTTCCTGCAATTCTTCCTTCTGTCTTCAACACTTTCCCGTCACATGACAGGAGCCTTACCATTCGTGGGTCCTGATTGGCCAGAATACAAAAAGGAAAAGAAAGGGTCCTGCCTGAGGGGACCTGGAAAAACAGGAGTTAAGGAGAGTCACTTTTGGGTTTGTCACCAATGAGAGAAGATATCTAGTGAGGGAGACTGATTAGATTGAGATGCAACCAGGACTCTGAGGCCAAGAGAGATAGGAAAGCAGAGATTGTCAGTGTAGACTATGTGTGGTGTGACATCACACATGGTCTACACTGACATCAAGCTAAGTGGTATCATCAGACAGAACTAAATGAACTATCCCATCCAAGCCAAAAGAAACCTTCCTCAGCAATATTTATTGATAATGTGTTATCATTACTCTGATGTAAACAAATTGAACATATGGTGATCATTATCGATATTATTTTTGTTATCAGGACCCCAATCTAAGCTACTGGTATACTCTCTAACCAGTCTTCATTCTTCTCTTTTTATCTAGTTTGTAAGTAGTGATAGTCTTAGTTTTAAGCTGAATTGTGTAATAATTAATTGTTATGGGAAGATTGAGCAAGAATGGGGAATTAATGTAAATACATTTTTGTTCTCTATAATAGACAGACTGATATCTGTTTTCTTTATTCGATTAAAAGAAATGCAATTTGACTGGAATTTGTCTTGTCTCATTTGTAATGTGTTTCTCATCTTTCACAAGATAACCCATCTCAATCACTTTACAATTGAAATTTGTGGAAGTTTTTATTCAATGCCATATCTGGGATTGAATAAAAACTTCCAGATATGGCACTATTTTTCGTTTTCTGTGGACACCATTGTGAGTGTATATATCTTTATATTCATGCAGTAAATTGTTAGAAGATTAAAAGATAATGATATTGATTAGTTGACATTGTCTTAGATTATTATGCATGTAATTTAACATTATTCATATATAAAGTAAGGGCAACTTCCTGCTCACATGTATAAACATATTTGTTATACATAGTCAAATGATCTTTTTATATAATTTTTTATTTTAAATTTTTGAATGTATTTTTAATTATAGACTGAAATTTTTAAATGAAACTATATTATAAGAGTATTTAGAAAATATCTAATTAGGAAAACAGTTTATTTTACTTTTTTTTTCTTGTAGAAAGCTTTCCTTTTAATGTTAAAACAGATAGTTTTACTAAAAATCATGTTACATTTTAAAAGCTGATTCCATTATACACTAATATATTAACATTTTGAAGGACTAAATGTTTCAATGTGTTTGTCTCCTGGCAAGGAAGTATATTAATCAGTTTTTCATGTTAAAAGATTAAAGGTGAATTATAAATAAATATAAAAATATTATTTAAGTTTATAAAGAAACAGTTTATAATCATAGCATTTCCATTTAGGAAGGAAAAAAATGCTTCTAAATTTCAAACTCTCAATGAAAATGTGATAGTTAATAAGCATATTCATTTTACAATTATTTGCGAAGTAATTTCTCAAGAAAATATGATGTTTTCTTTCACTTTCTCTTTATTTATCAAGCAAATCGTTGCATCCTAAATATCAATTATGAATAAAATGTATTAGATATTTTAATATATAATTTTTTTTTATCAAAACNTACAAAATTTAATATTTAAAAAAATATTTAATTACTTTTTTCCCAAAAAATTAACCAAGCAAAACATTAAACATTCCATGTAAGAAGATATAAATATTTAACATTTTAAATAGTAAAATTATAATCTAGAAAAAAATTACCTTTTTCCTTTATTGCAATAATTTCTCAACAACTTCATTCACAAGACAATAAAAACAAATTTCTTTAATGTGAATAGAAAAAAAATAACAAAAATTCAAAAAATTTCAACAGCTCTAAAACTTAAAATTTGAAGGAATTTGAATGTTTGACTTTTTGGTTTTTTTGGTTGAAAATTTTATAAATTTAAATATTTACATGTAACTAAAGAGAATATAATTAAAATTTTTTTTATTTGCTTTTAATAGGAAACTATGTTGATTTGTGATTCTTGTGACAGAGGTTATCATATGGGCTGTCACACACCGGTTGTCATGGAGAAACCAATAGGTTAGTAAATTTATTTCACATACTATTTAATTCAGAACTTTGTATACAAATATTAATAGTATCAATTGCTTTCAAATAAAGAAAATATAAAAAGTGTGAAAATAAATGCATAAACAATCAGATAATTTCATTAGTAATGAGAGATGGAAAATGATTCTGTGTGTAGGAATTTGAACTTTTTCATCTTTATCATATTATTAAATGTTAGTATTAAGATGGAAACTACATTCAATATATAACAGACAAACAACAATAATGAATATTAAAAAGAATAATATATCTACTAAGCAACATTCTTGTATTATTCCAACAGCACATATAATCAAAAATACTAAATAGTTGATTGTATAGATACTCATGTAATCATTTCCAATTGATAGAAAAATGATAAAACATAAAATATATTACTTTACTGCAGTGAATAACATTTTAGTCCAATATTTCTGAATGTACTGTACAGACAAAATTTTATTATACTGTATCAAGCACACTATTTAAAAAAATCATGTACTAAATGCTATTCATCATAGTGAATACATTTACTAGTACTTTTATGTTTGAAACATCAGAAGCTTGGATAATCATAGTTTGCTGACTTAAGAGTCAGATTTCCTGGCTCTTGGAGTGTTACATATTACTTTTTGAAGGAACATAGTGATGGGAAGTTGCTACTACTTTAATTTTAATTCTCTGAACATAGTTGTATATAATGTTAAATATTAAATCTTTTCTTAGATTTCATTGTCTTCATTGGAATTTTCTATTTTACTTCATCTCAATAATTTTTCTCACATAGGTTGAAGAAAACTATTCCTAATTTTTACACTATTACTCTTGCTTTATAATGAATTTCATTATAAAAATTGTTGGCATATATATGCATTAATTGTCAGAATTAACCCAATGCACGTAAGAGTTAACTTAATCATTCACCATTTGCAAAAACACAAATTTGCACATACCAGTTCCATATAAAACTAATGATACATATGATGATAATCCAGTAGAACATGTAACCCTAGAACATACATTTAAAACATACAAACATATCATTTAGAATACTTGATACAATTTATTCTTTTCATGATTTTGTTTCTTGCACTATATGGTCTGAATTAAATAAATTGCTGTTCAAAATGAGATGAAAATAATTATCAGACATATCTAAATTAGATTGTTTTGAATAAAGATACTTGCATAGGAAAAAAGTTAAAAACTTGTATAAAAATTGTTTTTATCTTTTTAATTCAGAACTGTAAAATAAGTTTAATTTTGAATTAACTTAATTTTAAATTAAGGATTTTCATATTTGTTACTATATAATAATAATAATAAGAGAAATTCTAAACCATAAAAGTCAAAAATTTTGTATTTTCCAACTGTTTCACTGATTTTATTCGTTTTATAAACTTGAAAATAACATGTAATTTTATAATTATTAAAATCAAGATTATAGTTAATGTAGATTATTTATTTACGTAATTAATTTAGATTATTTAGACTATTAATTTTTTTAATAGTCTATTAAAATATATAAATACTTGCAGTTACTTTATTTTGCAGACTTTATGAGAAGGATAGAAATATGTAGAATTAGAATTTGAAAATATGTTTTAATTCTTTTGAAGATATTCTATTACGATAGATTGAAATAGATATTTCTCAATTTACAAATTCTTTTACAAATTTATATAACTTATTAGTCTTTAAATATAAATTGAAAATTAAACGTTGTTAATTTATTTCTTTACAACATGTATATACTTAAAGTATATACATGTTGTATAAGAAATAAAATATTTAAAATAAAATATTATAGAAATAAAATATTTAAATCAATTTATATTTAAAGACTAATAAGTTATATAAATTTGTAAAAGAATTTGTAAATTGAGAAATATCTATTTCAATCTATCGTAATAGAATATCTTCAAAAGAATTAAAACATATTTTCAAATTCTAATTCTATATATATATATCATTTAATTGATTTGGATTAATTTGTTAGTGATTGATAGATACAAATCTTGCATCTCTCAGTATAGAGATTAAACTTTTTTTTTATTGACTTGCACTCCTGTTTATCCTTTATATAACTTTATACATAGCTCTAATTGAATTTAAATTATTTGTAAGAGATTATTATATATCTGATAATTTTGTTTACATTGTAATTTGTCTTTATTGGTTATATATTTGTTTTTTAATAAGTGCATAATATTGTGTTATTTTGGGAAGGCTATTGTTGTCTTTTGGCATTACCAATTAGAAAAATAAACAAATTAAGAATGTCTTTGAACTTGTAAAACTGATAAACTAGAATATATTTGAACATAAGATAAAGTAACATATTACTTATAAATTATTCTAATTATTAAATAAATAAATTTAAGAAATATTAATTCACTCAAAGCTTTCATATTTCTTACCTGATTTGTAAATATTTATGCAAATAAAATACACTTATTGACAAAAATGTAATACTTACTAAAATCATCACTAAACACCTTTGGCTAATGAGACACATTTATTTGCTTATACACTAACATTTTCAGCTTAATGCATAGGTCATCTTCAGATGACTGATTTTGGAACATCAGTTATAAAATGTTTCAAAGTAGAATACTATAAATATAGAATATTAGAATGTTAAATTTTAAATATTTCAATATAAACATAACATTCCAATAATTCCAACATATAGTAAATTAAAATTCTAATATAAAACTAACATAAAAAATAAAGTAAGGTAAAATATAAAACTAGAATCAGAATTGTAAATTTTAATTACAAAAATATATCTTAGTAAATGTGGTAACTAGGAGTTTCTTTAAAGAAGCTTTTTTTTTACGATGAACTTCCATGTTGATGGTAAACTGTCTATATTTCTTGCATTAATACATTTGTCCTCCAATTTGCACTTATATATTTCGATTTTTTCAGTTTTCAGCACTAATGTTGGGGAGTGTAAAGTCTTAACTATCTCCACCATCATCTGTTTTACTGTAGAGTCTTCAGCTTGTAACATCTGGGATAGTACTGTATTGCAAAGGCCTATTTTACACTGTATTTGATGCTCTTTAAATATAACTTCAAAGTTTCTTTTGGTGACTCAATATAATTTTTCTTTACTCCTAATTGCATGGTTTCATATGGTATCTTATATACACTTTTTAACATATCTTTGTTATTCCTCAATATACTGTAAATATTTGTCACTCTTTTGAATGTTAGTTAAGAGACTTTATGGTCTGCCATTTCTTTCATAATGTTAAAGTTCTGTTAATAAAATCACAAAGTTTACTTTTGAGTATACTGTTTTGAGTCTTTGATTTTTTTCCTTGTAGCTTCTAATCAGTCCAGTTATTGTGCTAGTTTTGTAGCCCAGTGTTTTGGCCCAGCAAAGTTTCTTTAGGCTGTCATGCTCTTCTAATGACGATCAGAATGCTGTCAGTTTGTATTGATAAGGGTCATAATTAGATGGGATGTAGAGTGAGCTACATGTTGGTTTAATATAAACCAGAGAAGGGCAACCCATGGCCCACATTAATATTTTTTGCAGCCCGTGACACATAAAATATGTATAAATATATGAATTTCCCAGTTTAAGGAAGTATATAGCAAAAATTCAAATGTTATTTTCTACAACTTATGTATGTGAACAATTTTTCCTGCAATGAATTTAGTAAAAATTAAAATAAGAAACCGGCTAGCAGACTCATGTTGAAACTAATTTAAAACTAGCAGTGACTAATATTTACCTAAATATCTTTGATATATTATGTTTACATCAGTTCCAGAAGCTAAATTAAGTATACCTATTATAATTTATAATTATATATGAATAAATAATTGTGATTTACCGGCATTTTTTCTCTTTTATCTTGTATGCAGCACATGTCAGTTCAAAAGTTTTGAAATGCATTCCTTACATAGAAAAAGGTTGCCCATCCTTGATATAAACACTCTTGACTTTAAAACAGTAATGCATCAAGGAGGTATTGGAATTTAATTAAACTTCACTAGTGCAAACTCAATGACTGTGATAAATGATTACAATAACATATACAGGAAATTGTCCCCTTGCTACGTCAAGTGGACAGTTTTCTGTGGAACAAAAGTACAATTTAAAGAAACCTTTAATACCATGTAGTACCTAGATACATATAGCAATACAATTGGCCCTGGCGGCATACAAACACTATGTTATCCTGTGACAGATTTGTCCACAAATGTTACAACTGCCACTCCAGATCCTTTGCACTCATATTTGGCAGAACCTGGAGTACTGTCTGGTTCCACAAATGCTCAATGGGCAGCAAAACTAGAAACCAGACATCTCAAGGAACATGTGGCAACATGACAGACATTCCTAGATTACTTTGTGTTTGGCCAAGCATTATTTTGTTGGAAAAGACTGTAACCTTGCTTTGAAAGCCACCATGTTAGAATATTGGATATACAGTAATACCCCAAACTTATGCAATAGGTGGGGCCGAGCGGTAACCGCGTAAGTCGAATTCACGTAAGTCGGGGTATAATTTCGCATATAAATACATACAAATAATTTTTAATTGGGGCCAGAGACTAAAGAAAACAATAATTTAGAAAAAAATGTTTAATAAAATCTTAGATAATACATATGTATAACAAATTAGGCCTATATTATTTTACAATTTTTCACATTTACTTGATTATTACGCCATAATTTCAACATTGTTTCCATCTCAGTGATAATACTGTGACGTTTACGAATGATGCTTGAATTTAAAGATTGAGCATTTTTCACAGCTTCGAGAATTTTTTTTTTGCCTTTTGTAATTGTTCTGACTGACAATTCCGGTAGATCAAACTTCTTTGCCAATTCACAAATTTTCATTTTTGTATCGAAGTCTTTAATAATGGGTACATTCGTAAAGTCAAACGAGTTAAACACGTTAGTAACGAATCGTTCGAAAAGCCTAATGAAATAGGAATAACGATGACGTCATTCTCGTTTA